AAAATCATGTGTTTAATCACAAAGAATTAGGGTGTTTTCTAACACTTATATCAAAACGTTGCAAATAATCTGCCAGGAAAATGTACCTGCATCTTTTCATATGAGTGGAAATGGTATTAAAACACAGTATATCAATAAGGCCATCATCAGCTGGAAAGTGATTGATCTCATTTTGTATTTGCATGCCTTGTGTTTTGCACCCGGCCCTGCAGTCTCATGCTTGTGGTGGTCACAGTTTAGCTGCTAACGGTCATGCTTTCAATTTACTGTACTCATACTGCTGTGAAATGTCACTTTTTTTTACAATTAAATATAGTTACTAATGGCAGCTACTTCAATACTTTTATAATGATGTTATTGTAGCTAGGATGTGGTCTTACAAAGACTTGTATTTGATTCATGTGTGCTTGACACTTTATTTAATATGTTGTGTATGAGATTCATCATTATAAGCAGAGATGGCAAAAGTACACTCTTCCTTCACTCTGTTTGTTTAAAAATACTCTGGGAAAAGTTGAAGCACTCATTAAACTTCTTTACTCAAGTAAAAGTAAAGAAGTTTGAGGTTTTAAATGTATTTAAAAAAAATAGCTATAACTTCAAACTGTTTTATAGTCGCTCTGAGAACTGGACCTAACGTTATATTGATAGAACATTAAAGAACTTGTATTTCAAATTGTAATACTGTTAATGTCATATATACACGATTGTGTTTTCTGTATGACATTAGGTTGAAATAGGCGCTCAATGACTCAAATTAATAATGATCACGCCACCCAACACAGATTCAAACTAAAGTATCCAGCCTGTTTTGAAAATGTAAGAAGTAGAAAGGGCAGGTATTAGAGTTAATAATGTAAGGAGTACAAATTCAAAGTACTGATACCAGAAACATCTACTTAAGTACAGTAACAAAGTATTTGTACTCCACTACTTCCCACCTCTGATTATAAGAACAACGGTACGGACAACTCTTATGCTTTAAACAAGTCATACATTTCGTGATGTAGACTTTTCTTAGAGACATTATCACAACATATCTACTTTTTCTTAGATAGTTACAAATCCCCCCTGCACTTACACTGGTTGAGGGCCCGCGCGGCGTGGCCGTCGAAGGCGTCCAGCAGGGCGCTGAGCAGGTAGCAGAAGACGGCGGGCCAGGGGCAGCAGGGCATCAGGAGGAAGGAGATGAACGCCAGCGCGATGCGGGCGTAACCTGAAGCACAAACACAGCTGTGAGCTCTTCTGTTTCACAATAACAGTGCGTACAGAAGCACAGAATACAACCTACATCAGATATGAAACATTAGAAGGGTTACACAGACTCAGCAGCACCAAATTCATATATATTAGAGTAGAAAACAACAAAGCATCATTCCATTACATAAACGTATGAGCGACATAATTGCATTGAAAACTTGTTTTGAATCAAACTTTATTTAAAGCTCAAGGAATTGGACATGCCTTTGTTACCAATAATGTCAAGACTAAACTTAAAAGCAAACAAATACAAACTAAATCATAACAAAGCCCTGATGTATGTGTTTTATTATTTACAGAGGACAGAAACTTTTCTTTGCTATCTAGAATTAACATCAGTGATGGAAGGGTTAAACCAACAAAAGGGTGTTAATGCCACACATGTACTTAAAATGCCAAATATAATAGTTCTTATTATGTAGAATGGTCCATTTCTATTGTTTTGTATTATTGGATCAAAAATGATGCATTAATGACATGCTGTTTAGCTGATAGGATCATTCAAGTATCATCTTATTTCATTAGTTTTTGGACTTGAGTAATAATGATTGTTATGCTATATTAAATACTCCACTACAATAGAGGAAACTGTTTTTACTACTCTATATTAATAGAGTAGTGTTTGATGGGGGCTAGTGTTATAGCTGCCGGATTTCGCTTCGATGCTGTTAGTCCAAAACCTAATAAAAGAGAATTCCTTTGATAGAAACAGAATCATAAAAAAACTCCATATTTCCGAGGCTGACAATAAGAATGCATTTGATTGATTTAGTCGCCTTTCAGGGCTCTCAAGGTAGCCGGAAACAGTATTTAAAAACATAAGTGCAGGAACAAATACGATTTAACATTTATCAAAATGATTCTGTCGATGTCAGTAGCTTTATGTATTACGAACTAAACTATCCAGCAGCATATGAAGTAAATAGACTTACTTATTTTTTAAAAACATTTAAATGCACTTTTTTACATTATCTGTTTTCGTACAATATTACAGAATAAACCAAGAGGGATTTATCTTTATTGGGATACTTTGCTTTTAGGATTTTAGAGTCCTGGAAAAAAAGACGTCACAATAAACAAAGCAAGAACTAGAAAACAAATACATGAATTCAGTGTAATAGATAGATACAAAGATATGAATGAATAATGTTTGATCTTTCTATCTGTGGCCCTTTGAATGGACTTTGGTGTGACTTCCAACATCATCCCCTGTATGTAGGTAGGCTAACGCTAAACTAGCTACAGTAAACGGTGAAAACAGTAAAATACTCACCAATTAAATTGGGAACGAAGTAGAAAATATTTTCTTGCTCCATAGTTGATGTTTGCGTCGTGTTATGTCTCTGTTAGCTTCGTATTATAACTCCTATTTGAAAGAGAAGCTCCCTCAAAGCGACAGGATGCTAGTTGAGCGATGACTTCCTCACAGCAGCTAAACGTCAAGCAACAACAGAAACACCAATTCCGGATACATTTCAGAATAAAAGCTTCATAATGGTTCATTTAGTGAAGAGAAGTCAGTCATCCATTTTAAGGCGAGACACCCCAGGTGAATAGGGTAATTTTTTTAACTTAAAGGTATCAGTTAGACATTTCTCCAGTTAATTACCTACAATAAGGCAATTGTTTTTTGTATTACAAGTTTTCTGAAATAGCATGTTTAAATATGCAAATTCACCATTATCTCATTAAATATGCACATCTTTTCACACATTTCAGGAATCGAAATCTGAACTTTGGATAAAGCCAGGTTCAAAATTCTTGTTTCATTTTGTAGTCATATTAGTATCTAAGGCTTTTACAGAAGGGATATTGGATATCTTTTTGTATCACTCCATAAATCAGAAAATACTGTCAACAGCCCTAAAATATCAATTTCCACCATGTTTTTAGGTATACAATGTTGTATAATTCAGGCTATGAATGATATATGAACAAACCCTTCTGTGAAAGCCTTCATAATATTGATAGGAATATAACTGGAAGGTTTGGTGTATGTAAGTGCTACTGAAGTGGACATTTCGAACTCAGAGTAGGAGAAAAAACTCATTTTGAGAAAACGACCTTTAAAGATTGCAGTGAGGCGCTAGCTAAACCTTCCTGTTCTTTGGATGACAGCTTGCGCATCGACGCACTCCGTGAAGGTATTTCATGTTCAGGGTCTTTTTTTTATTTTTATAACCTTGCTTCGTGCAAGTGACAATTGTTGTCGTCTTCTCTGTGAACGTCTTTTTCGCCGTTCTTTTGCCATTTGAGATTTCAATTTCTAGCGGAAAGCTAACCAGGAAGTGTTTTAGCACACCACGTGACGCATCTGAACGAATCACGCTGTTAAAAATTGACAGCCGCCAATGAGATTTCGTTTCTTGGTTTAAGACCCTTTTGTACTTTCACGATTGGTTGCTGATACAAAGGAAATGACCATATTTGGATCCGATGAGATTGTGCAGGAGAGACGGAGCTTTCCAGCGATACCTCTGTTGACATGGTGCACACAGCGGTTGCGGTACTTTATGTTACGTTAGAATGCTAACTTTTGGTGAATTTAGGAGAAATCTACAGACGCAAATAGACAAACTATAGTAAAATAAACACTTAAATGTGTATTTTGTACGTTTTCCTTCCAAAAGCCTGAAAGAAAACATGTTATAGAATCAAAATAGCACAACATCTCAAAATTGACCAGTACTTAAAAAACGATGCCGTGTCTCGCCTTAAAAGCAAAAAATAACAAGCCTCTGAAATAATGATTGGTTGTCGAGTTATTTTTTTGTAAAGTTTGATAAAGAAAATACATACTGACTGAAAATAACACTTAACAATTGATCAATGAATTAATACTAAGTACTATGAAAAATGTTTGGATCATGGTTTTTAGTTATAAAAGTCACAGTATTGTACATTTTAATATTTTTTAAACTGTGACTACATTTGTTAAAGTATGCTTCATTTCATACATTAAATTAAGGATCATTTTCAATGAAGGCCTTTACTGTGAGAATGTTATGCTGTGATTCTTTATCCGGTCTGAGTGACTTCACGGCTTCTCTGGTTGGTTGGTTTATATTGTGACGTCATGGGAAGCAGCCATCAACGTGCAGCGCGCGCCTCCCCTTTAATAACGTTTTAGGTCACCGGAAGTTCATTTCCTTCAGGATAAGACATTTTAGACAAAGACATACGTGAATAAAGAAATTGTAGTACAGTTAAACAATATATCACAATAATATTGAAAAAACAACGTCATTTAATTGATTTAGTCTGGAAAATAATCAGTTTCCACTTTGTTCCTTATTTGAATGATTTATTTGTACGTTTCTACTTATGTGCTTATCATTATCTAAGGACAGAGGGTGTCGTTTTTCTCATACTGATGTTCTGAACAATCTGTGCCGTTGTATTTGCTGTAAAGTGTATCTACTGTAGGCTATTTTTATTATATGTACAGCACTTTGGCTCGACCAAAAATCGTTTATAAATGTGCTATATGAATAAAACTTGATTTGATTATTACATATTGTATTACTAAATTAGTTTGAGAATAAAGTACATTAGTAAAAATAGGACAAATCAAAAGTAATGAAAAGTTCAAGTGAAAGACAAAGCATGATCAGCAGACCAAAGAAAGGTCAAACAAGAACATTGGAATAAAGTATATCTCAAAAATCTCTTGCATTATGACACAAACATGTTTCTTCTTAAACCAGTTAAAGACCCCATAAATAAAAATAAAGAGACACTTCTGTTTTTGTTCATTTATTTCTCCAAAAGTATTTTCCGTTACGTTTCTGTACAACTAATGTCTCAACATTTTGAACCTGAACATGGTAAACTCGACCTCCAGCTGTAAAAACCAGATTGAAATCCATCCATCACACATCCATCAGACTCATGTTCATCATCTTCATCCTTCCTGTCAGTTATCTTCCTGCAGGCCACAAACAGGGGGAGGAAGGGGTTTCCTGTGGAGGAGGCGACTTTGTCCCACAGAAACATATACAACTGCATCAGGAAAAATATAGAACCACATGAAAAATGAAGTAAAACTATTGATGAATTAAAGGAATAACACCACGGCATTATGGGAAATGTGCTTGTTTGCCATCAGTCTGGAACTAGCAGTGTCTTCCCATTTTAAAAACAGTTGAATTTACATCTTTTAATCCTAATATTTAGAGCTTTTGGACTTCTGTTCGGACAAAACAAGACATTTTAACATTTCATTGTTTTCTTTTGTCAAATACATTGACATTATGAAAATAATGACTGATCTGACAGCAAACCTGCACATTTCCCAAAATGTTCCTTTCATTTGGAGGAGATGAAAACACAGAAATCCTGATGTCAGTGAACTCAACAATAGAAACAGGAAGAATTGACCTCTCTGCAGGAGATGCATTCTGAGTGCAGCATTAAACATAAAAGCATCTCCGGAATGATAAGCATCTTTACAAAACAATGCATTTAAAAAACTAAAATAAAAGTTGGCAAAATGAAATCTCACAAACATTTCCTTGAGGTTTTTTTTTTTTTGAGGGAGTCATCTCCATCAAACAGATCAGCACAACATGTGGGGTGAGTTTGTTTTCTCCACCTGAACATCTTTTAGTGTTAAAAGTCCAGCTTGTAAAGATGACATTTAGAAACATTTCCCAGCTTCCACTCTGTTTTCCAACCCCTCCTTCTGCATTTCCTGTCTAACAGTTGCACACATACAGGAACTGAAATATTTAAGCAATGATACAAAGTCTGCATTAAAAAAAAAAAAAAAAGTATTATTTGAAGTCCGCCCAAACATTCTTTTACTATCAGTGCAAATGAGGTAGACGTGACAGCGACAGACAGCATCAGATCACACTGAGGCCGGCCTCCTGCAGACGCCATGTTGGCAGGAAGTCCGCTGATTTAGTTCCTGCCGCTGCAGGAAGTGACCCGATGATTTTTCTACCCATTCACGCCGTGCAAAACCAAATGATGAGCTGTTTATCCAGAAAAGTCCTGCAAATAAAGCTCCACAAAGTGTTCAATATCTGATCAATAAGCAACTATAGCACAACAAGTCATTATCAGTCATAATAATTCTTTATATATTTTATACGCAAACATTTTTTGTATAGGACATTAAAGTAATATCTGATAAAACTGTTATCTTTGATGTAAAATATAAAGAAATTAACAAATATTTGTGAATGTTCTTATTTAAACTAAACTCATTACTTGTCATATTAATAAAATAACACTTAAGATAATGAGATAAGTGTAAACATTTTCTCCACAAACTGGAGAACTTAATATATATATATTTGACACAGTGTATTTTCATATTACCTTTCATGTCATAATGTGTATTTATATTACTAAATATTGAACACTTTGTGGCGAAATATTTTTCAGGTTACAGTGTTTTATGAGCTGGAAAAGAATAGAAATAAAAAACATGGCACCAAACGTCATGAAATAGTCTGAAAATGATGAAAATGACTCGGCTCCACTGTGGACGTTCCACACTTTAATACTGGCTCAAAAAAATAAAAGGTCAAAATTGAAATTCAGGCCTGCCCAAAGGAATGCTGGGAAAGGTAGTCCTTAGAAACATTAATATTTTTTCTTTTTTTTATAGCTCTATCACAGTAAAATTGCGCTTATTTCCCCACCTAGTGGTTAAAAATGAGCATACAACATAAATATTACAGCTGCAGTAGAGGTAATAATAATGATAGCGTCTATTTGTCTAAAACAACACGTACATCATTATTATTACTCTAACACAGTCTCAGTTAGTGCTTTATGTACACTGCTAAGTACAATGCAAGTCAAAGTGTTTGGACAGTGAACAATCTTCAGCATATACCTGCTACATTTACAGGTATCTTACATTTATTTATACGCATTTATATAAATAGGTAGTGTGCATGTTATCCATACAAATGGCGTCTGTACACAAGATCCATGCACTGTAACTGTAACTCATTTATTTGTAATGCAACATGTACATCTATCTACAGATGCAGAGCAGACTGTGAAGAAGGGGGAAACAACAGGTGGAGGACACACACACACACACACACACACACACACACACACACACACACACACACACACACACACACACACACACACACACACACACACACACACACACACACACACACACACACACACACACACACACACACACACACACACACACACACACACACACACACACACACACACACACACACACACACACACACACACACACACACACACTCTCTCTTTCAGCAAAGATCGCAGATTTAGTGCTTGGCTCACTCAAAAATACTCTGGCAACGTCCCTTTAAAAGGAGCAGACATTTTATGATTTGCTTTTTAAAATGTAAATGATTGTGTAAGTGGTATAATTATAATTTAAAAAATTGGTTTAAAAATCAAGTAATTGTCTTGGTTTGTAGACATTAATGTGCACTGAAAAAGCCTAATTGAAGTAAAATAAATCTGAGTATCCAAATGTTTATTGTCAATTTTATATGAATCTGTTTTTTTTTCTTACATTTTGAACTATTTATATGGTAAATGTAAGACTATAATCGCAGAGAATTTATTCTGTAAATTAACTACTTAAAAGATAGTAGTTTTTCTCATAAATTTGACTTTTATCCAGTAAAATGACGACTTTTTTTCTTGTACATTGATGAGTTTTTTTTCACACTTAACACTTAAATCTTGTAAATTCTAAATGATTTCAGAATGTTATTCCCCTTCCCTCCCGGGTAAGGGTAATTTCTGTCATTTCTATATACCTACAATGTCCCTTATACGCGATAAAAACCTGCCAAAGTTCCCAAACAGGCAGACCGCCCCTTTAAGGGGACTTAAGGGCAGTGGTAGAGTTGTCCTGGGTCAGCCCAACAAACAGGTGGCAGTGTTTCTTTAAATTGTCATTTACAGAACCTTATTTATCACTACAAATAAAAAGAAATGTGTTTTCCCTTGGTCGACCCCTCCCCTCCGCCCGCCTCGCTTTAAAAAAAAAGAAAAGAAAAAAACTTGGTTTACAATTTACCGTTATTTACATAGTTACAGTGGTTTTTAAAGCACAGCGAGCCAAGTGGAAGCTCCACAACAGTCGCCTGAAAACCAGAATTTAGACCTGCTAGACTTTAAACCCGCTCCCTGCAGCTCAACCGTTACCGTGCAACAGATTCAATGTGGCGCACAATGAACACATGCACAAATTCTGGTCTGTTTTTTTAGATAAACTTTGTCTTGTTCATTTTGCGGCACATGGCTCAATTTTCACATGTGGACGTTGTGTTTCATTTGTTGGGTTTGTATAGTTCCGACACCTCCTGTGCAACTCTTTAATAATGTTTGGAAGAGGTTAGCAGTGATTTTAATACTTGTGTAGTGACTAAATAAAAAAAGGCGTCCTCTCTTTGTGCATCAGGAACACTTTTAAGTCCCTGCACACATCAGGAAAGGAAATAATTTACATTTAAAATCGGGGTATTTGTTTGTTTTTTAAGTATTAACTTTGCTCCAGCTCTAAGAAGCATCTTCAAATATGTCAAAAACCTAAAGCTCTCTTGTAAAAAGAAGCAGAGCTCAGATCAGAGAATCAGGAGTAAGAGAGGTGGGAGCCGTTAGAAATGTGAGAAGTGACTGACGTGCTCCGGCTGAGCCCGCCGTCGCTCCCCCCGCCTCCCCCCGGCCCTCCGGACGCCGTCCTCCTCAGGGGCTGGGGGCTGTTCCTGAGCGCCATGAGGCCCGGGCCCCTGATGCTCAGGCCGCCGCCACCGCCGTATCCTCCCTGTGACGACGAAGAGGACGAGGCGGAGGACGGAGGAGAGGAGGAAGACAGGGAAATTGGAGGAGGCGGTGGTGGGGGAGGCAGCAGAGCCAGAGACTGGGAGGAGGCGTGGGAGGCGAGGTGGTGGTGGTGGTGGTGTCCCTGGGAGTGGTGCGGGTAGTGGCTGCTGGCTCCTCCCCCCCACTCCCGGGGCCGCTCGCGCTCCCTGCTCTCATGGGGGTCGCGGTACAGCTGCGGCGTGCTCTGGTGGTGCTGGTAGTGCTGGGGGAGGTAGTGCTGCTGCTGCTGCTGTTGTTGTTGCTGCTGCTGCTGCTGTTGTTGTTGTTGTTGTTGTTGTTGCAGTTGCTGCTGCTGCAGCAGCAGCAACTGCTGCTGCTGCTGGTGGTGATGGTGGTGGTGGTGGGAGGGGTGATGGGAGGGGTGGGAGGTAGAGGAGGACGAGGAGGAGTGACCCCGGCTGCCGCTCTTGTACATCTCACTGTCCCTGCCGAGGCCGTGTGACGAGGCGACGGACTCTGCGCGGCTGAAGGCCCCCCCGCCGTGGTTCTGACTGCGCCAGGAGGGCGTGGACACCGAGTTCTGCACGCTGTGGCTCCAGTGGCTGCCGGAGCGCGGGACGGGCCGCGAGGGCCAGCCGCTGGAGCCCGAGGAGGGGCTGGGGGTGGGGTAGCCCTGGTTGTAGGCCTCGGCAGGGATCCCGCTGAGCGCCATGTTGCTGAAACCCAGCCGCATGCTCTCCGAGTCAAACGCCTCGATCTCGTGCGCCTGCCGCTCCAGCAGAGTCCGGATCCGCTCCGAGCGCTCGTTCTGCAGGGACAGCATCTCCTCCTCGATCTGAACAAGGGTAATTATACAGTTTTCCTTTTTGTTATCTATTGTATGTTTTTCCCTTATGGATTTGAGATTTTTTTCCCGTGAATTTGTCTGAGTGTTTTTCTTATCATTACGGATATCTACGGAAGTCAAATGGCTTTGTTTGGTTCATTTCTTTCTTAACGAAGTAACAATTATGAACACTAATGGACCCTTATGAAACTCATATGGCGTTGTGGTTCAAAAAGACTGGCCAACATAGAACAATAAAAGCTGCTTGGTGTATTGTTTGAAGAGGCGTTGTAACGTACCCGTTGCTCGAGCAGCGCTCTGCGGATGGACACCCTCTGCTCCAGGTCCTTGACCTCCCTCTCGTGCTGCGTGTCCGTGTGGATCTTGATCTTGCTCTGGTAGGCGTTCAGCAGCTCCAGCTCCTGCTGCAGCTGCATCCTCAGCACCTGGTACTCCGCCTCCTGCGTCTCATCCAGGCGCAGCTGAGGGGACAAAACGGGACGAGCATCAGCACCGGAGGGGCTTTATGATGATAAGGACAGCTGGACGGTTTGTTTATATGAGTGTGTTATTCAGTGTTTTAAATAAAGAATTATACTAAACTAAATCACAACCAATAATCATTGATCTGCTGAACTTTTTTTGTTGTTCAAGGTTTAAGTACATTTCACAAAATAAAGAATTGACTAAATAAAAAAAAAAAGTATTTTTGCCCGACCAACAATTACAAATTATATATAATTATGAAAAAAGGTTATTTTTGTTTATTAATGATTCACATCATTAAAACAATTAACAATATCGCTGCCAATAAATTAAATAGTTATTGAAATAATAGCTTTGTCTCTAGGATTAAATATATTAAGTGTCTTTTGTTCAAAACATTTTTAGTCAAAAGATTTATACTGTATTAATAACCCACATCATTTAGTTATGATTTTTTGTTTTTCAAAGATTCAATTTTTTCTCCATTTTGTTAATTTGGAATTTGTTTACGTGTGAAATTCAACCATTTTCTGAATTATTATTTACAACTAAATAATTACTAATTTTGTTACACTGCATTCTACGGTTTTTTTGTAGCTTTTATAAATGTTTTTTAATGCTTTGAATCACTTCTGTAAAATGCTATAGTGTATATCCAGCAAAATAAAAAAGGTGGTGATTTTCTTTGTAGATGTCCTAAAATACTACTTTGTTTTCATTGTGTTAATATGATAAATATGTGTTGTTGCAGTGTGTGTCTGTGTTGGTGTGGCAGTGGGCGGTGCTCGGAGGTTCCTTGCCTTACTCACAGCCTGTGTGGACAGCATGTCGTTGATGGAGTGGTCGTACTGCTCGGCCAGGATGGCCAGCTTACGTGTTTGCTCCTCTTTGAGGCGTTTAAGGACGGCCTTGTGGTCGGATTTGGGAGTGCTCTCCAGCAGGTGGTTCCTCAGCGCCTTGTACTGCCGGGTCTGGATCTTACAGGTTTCCTGGAACTGACGCTTGATCTGGAGCTCTTTGGTCTGAAACAATAGTAAAATCAGTCAGATAACACCAAAGTAATTCTATATTGTAATTTTGGGGTGCCCCATCTGAATAGTTTAGTGGACTTGATTGTCGTTTTGGGCAATTTCCTTAGCATTTTCTTTTGTTTACTTTTCACACTGCATGACCTACAACTAGTGTTTATTTCGTTGACTAAACGACCTTTTTTTCCATGACTAAGACGAGATCGCACCGACGTCAGTAAACAATAACGATATCAACATGCAATATCGTTGACGAAAATGTAGTTTACTAAATAAAAACGTTGCCAAAATCTCTTTACTTTCGTTGACGAAAAAGGAGGAGACGAAATATAATCAAAGATAACGTTTCATCTGATAGTCCATTTTTTTCCTCAGCAGTTCCATTTCCGGTGCTGCGGCTGGGCAGCAGCTGTGTGTCTGTGCTGCGCGGCGGTACATTTGAATTACACCGGGCAGCGGCACACTGAACTGTCAGGAAGACTCGGATCTAACTAACCTTATTTAACAGAAAGGAAAATGGCAACAACAGGGCTTGGGAGCAGTGGTCGCGCATACATGTCAAACTCAAGACCCGCGGGCCAAATCCCGTGGTGGATTTAATTTCGGCCCGCAGGATCATTTTAAATTACCATTAGATCTGGCCCACCGGTATATTGCACGCACACCTTCACTCAATCCTGAGGAGTTCCTCAGCTCAGAGCCTGAGCCCAAACATTGATGAACTTGCACCCAAGATGAGATGCAAAGTATCTGTCTTGAACTAGCATCACAGAGCAGCAAACTGACTTTCAATGGATGTTTCCTTCTGCACTTTTTTTCTTGCGACAACAGGGCATGTTTTTTTTTTTTCTTTGACGGAAATTGTTTTGTTGAAGCTGTTGTTGGCCTGTGGAAAAATGTAATCATAAGAAATGACTCGGGGGGGGGGGGGGGGGGGAAAGCTGCAGATAGAGCCATAAGAAATGAATGCAACTGATTTTACTAGAATGTTGTTTTTATAGGCAATCATTTAAGCTTTGTTAGTTCCAGGTTTAATATGTGCAATAAGTTTGTTTCAATAAGTTTCGCAATCAACATTGAACCAGTCCGGCCCTCGACTCGGACCCATTTTTTAAATTTTGGCCCACTGTGTATTTGAGTTTGACACCCCTCCGTTAACCGAATATCCCCCCCGGTCAGCGCGAGTGAGTGACGAGTTGTGTACAGACCCGTCGGGTAATAATGGATTATGACGGAAATGTTACGATCCTGTCCGGAAAAATGACGGACAACGAAAAAGTCTAACGCCACCACTGCCTGGGAGAAAGAAACGAGGCCATATTTGGGCCCATTTTCGCTACAAAGAGGCAGAGAAAAAAAGCGAATGCATTGTTTTATCAGAAGGGAAGCAATGTGGCCATAACACAGGTAAAAACACCACAAACCTGACCTGATACTCTGCATTCTTAATCATTCAACCTGTGTTTTTCATCAAATAAGGACAAGATATAATCTTATTGTGAAATAAGTTTGACACAAATGACAAATGATTGGTTTTGGCGCCCTTGATCTTGGGCGCCCCCCTGCAGGAGAGGGGAGCATGCTTTGAGATCAGCTGCTGGGCCGTCAGAAGAGGGGGCGAAAAAGAGATCTCTGTCCTCCGTGTTTTATTCTTATATGATTATATAGAGTCATTACTCATTTGTTTTAAAGCTCAATAAATAACAAAGAAGACCTCTGACCGGCACTTTTCTAATTTTGTCCGGAAGATTTAAACTTTGACCGGCGGAAACAAATCTAACTGAAACTCTGCTGCACGGTCCCCTCGTTCCTTTGAAGAGGTGGGTGTTTGTCATCTGCTGGTGGCCTAACCAGAGAGATTACAGCGAGGGAGGGATTGCATTGAATTACAACAGGAGGTGTAAACGCTTGCCTCGGGGAGGGAGAAAAAGAGCCACAGCGGAGAATAAACAGAAGGGCAACCATGGCAACCATGCGTGCGAAGTCTTCTTCGCTGCTTTTGTGGCAGACTACAGCGCCACTTACAGGCCTGGCATATGTCCTACAGCGTCTCCAGCGCTTTCGAGTGGCAATGGCCGGCCGTGGCCCAACCTCTCATTCCCCTGATAGGTGGAGAGTTGGCCATAGAGGCGGAGCTCCTCGTTACTGACGTCAGAGAATTTCCAAATCTGGATCAGTCTATCAGATCCGTTGCAGCCCCATTTTTAGAGATTTGGTATGGAGGAAAAGAGAGGGTTGTGTTTTCTGACACTTGGTGAGTTCCCTGACACACCGGGGACACATATTCATGTATAAAAGACGTACAAAAGTGCATGATCCCCTTTAATTAAACATTTCCTCAAAATATTTGTTTAAAAGTAGATGCCGGTAATAAATGATCCAGGACATACAACACATTTCCAGAATGTATCTACGAAATGAGATAATGAAGATAATAGATAGAGAATAGATAGATACGGCACACCCCACCCCACCCCCCCCCCTCCTCACCTTGAGGCTCTTAGGCTGCTGCCGGACCTCTACGGTGTGTTTCTGCCGCAGCTCCTGCTCGCGCCGCTTGTTGTACTCCATCTGGTTGGTGAGCTCCGTCTGGTGCTGTGTGCGGATCAGGTCGGCCCGGGTCCGCTGCACCGAGCCCAGCTGCCTGAACTCCAGCTCCTGGGTGGACTCGTGGTGCCGCAGCAGCATGGCACACTCCAGATCCTTCTGGGTCTGCTTCTTGTTCAGGTCCTGGGGGAGGAAACACATGAGGGAGGACAGAAACATTAAGTGTGGTGTAGAAATGATTGCACTTTCCCTGAAACGGTCATTGTTTTTATGTGTAATGTATTTGAAATAGGAATGAGCTTTTATTTTCCAGTTATTTAAAAAACAAAGAAAAATTGTTCCGTTTGATTTTGTATTTTGGGTTGTTTTGAGTGCAATTTTGGTATTGGGTGTTGAATGGATGTATTCATGTATTGTTATTTTTAAATACTAATAGAAATATTCCACTACACGGCCACCACTCCGGTTTATTTGCCATAAAGAAATGGTTGTGTTCTATTCAACAAATATCTTCTTTTGAGCACATAAACAGAAAATAGCCTAATGTCCTAAAAGTTTGACAACAATAATTCCATTGAAATATAAAGACGAATAATGATTTCATTTTTTGGAATTCTTTTTTGCATACGAGCACCATTTTAAAAAACATTTATGTAATTGTATTTATCTATTCATTTTCAGATTTAGTTTTTCCTTTTTCAAGCTGCATATCACTAGAATATTTGCATTGTTAACTGTGTGTGAAAACTCAACTTTAGTTTGAAGCAGGAGAGGGAATGCTTCATTTTGCTGATACACATTTCAGAAAGATCAATCTTATGTCTACTATATTCAACTGTTGTGTTTTTAAATATTGTTATTATTATTATTATTATTATTTGGATTTGAGGTGCGGTACCTCTCTCAGCAGGTCCTGCTCCAGGTTGTGGCGAGCGAGCAGCATCTTCCTCTTGTACTGGCGGCACTGCAGCTCGTAGTACTGCCGCTGCCTCCGCAGCAGGCTGGCCTCCTCCTCCGCCTGCATCTGCTGCAGACACTCCTTCTGACGGATCAGCCACTCCTGCTTCTCCCGCTTCGGAGTCGACTGGTTCTCATTCAGCTCCTGGGAGACCCGGCAGAGGAGAAAGTAAGAGACCAGCGTGAGAAAAACTGTTTGCAAGAACAGTTTGGATATATATACATATACACATATATATATAACATCAGTCCCGCCAGAATAAAGAATACATCATCTTTAACATGATGAGAACATCATTGTGCAAATATAAACATAAATAAATAAAATAATAGAAAGTCAATGGTTTTTATTTTGCATACTGTAGTTTTTAATAAAACAATACTGCTTTTCTATTCAAACCTTTTCTTTCCCGAAAGCATTTATTTACTTTTCATAGACTACATGATTAATCAGACAAGCAATCTTTCATTGTAATCAATAATGAAAATAACATTTAACTGCAGCCCTAGATTTGATAAGTGAGTGAGTGTGTGTTCTGACCTCTTTCAGCTGGTCCTTGCGCTGGCGGTACTGCCGTTTCTGTGACTCCAGTAAACTGGTCAGCTCTTTCTTCTGCTGGCCCAGGATGTGCTGCTGGAACTTCTTCTCTTCAGCCAGAGCTGCTTTAGTCTGCAGGAGGTCAAAGGTCAGATTTCAAAATACAACTTTAGTGCTTATTCTCCAGAGATGGGTGATGATCATAATAATAGATGAAATTTGTATAGCGCCTTTCAAGGGACCCAAGGCCGCTTTACATGGTAAACAAACAAACAAAAGGGGCATAAAGTAAAACATGGATTAAATAGCAGTATGAGTGGAAGCAGGGGGACTGTGAGGGTTAGGGGCTCAAAGGCCATATGATATATTGAATATTCTCAATGTATAGTGGCTTGTATAATAATTGATCCTTTTATAAATGCCGGCAAACAGTATTTTTGAGAGCATTTATTTAATTAGTATTTAATTATATATTTTAATGTGTTCATATTAGGGCTGTCAAGTTAACGCGTTAATAACGCGCCAACGCAAAAAAAATTAACGCCACTAATTATTTTAACGCGATTAACGCATGTGCATTTTTTGTCCTCGGCCGCCCCGTAGTTTCAGAGCGCATCGAGTTTAAAATACCATCTACAAGCTGATGCTGACAGCCCCGCTCCTGCCGCCCGCTTGCTGCAGACCACACTTCCACGCTCACCGGCAGGCACCGACTGGCCATCGGGAGGACCGGGAGAGACCTTACGTGCATTGTTGTTGTTAGCATCTGGTGCTAGCTAGCTGCGCTAACAGATATAAGGAGCTGTTTAAATGAAAACAGAGGAGCGACATTTCGCCGACAACTGCACCGAGCACTTGACATAATGCAGGAAGCCAGACAGTGGGACATTGTACGAAAAGTCAGCACACTCAGCACGGATAGTGCAACATGATTGCAGCGTCCAGGCAGCTCCCGTTCGAGCGTATGCCTTGAGTTGCACAGAGCTCCCTCCCACACACACACACACACACACACACACACACACACACACACACACACACACACACACACACACACACACACACACACACACACACACACACACACACACACACACACACACACACACACACACACACACACACACACACACACACACACACACACACACACACACACACACACACACACACACACACACACACACACACACACACACACACACACACACACACACACACACTATTGTATTATGGTATGAGAGAGGTTCCAGGTTGAATTGAGGCGAATATTTGTAATGTTCAGAGGTTGTTGTGTTTAATATTCATGAGGATATTTGTCATTGATCAAATGATAATAAACATTAGCATAAAGCATATTTGTCCACTCATATGTTGATAAGAGTATTAAAAACTTGAAAAATATTCCTCTAAGGAACATTTAGAACAGATAAAAAATGTGCGATTAATTTGCGATTAAAGATTTTAATCGACTGACAGCCCTAGTTCATATATTTTTGACAAACTGACCTATTTTTTGATTGAATGTAAAATTGTGTTGACTTTCACATGAAGTCTGTTTTTTATTGATATTAATAAATTAAAGTAAAATGAATAAACATTAAATAATAAATCAAAACAAGAATTTTAGAATGTGAATAATTAGCCAAATGAAATAATAAAGAATGTTTTCCCAAAAAACTGACTTCAGAATTAAAGCAGACCACCAGTGTCACTGATGTGGATTTTCCAAACTAAAGCCCACTATGTCATGTTCAGTTGTTTTTTTGTGGCATAACCTGAGAATGTCTAAACATGATTCTTAACTCATCATAGCGATAGAGCAGCACTTCCATGTAGTGCTATATAACCGTACAAACACACACTGATCTTGTGGTTGTTGTTCCAGGTAAATTCCACTGAAAGGTGAAGCTCTGTGGTCACCTCTTTCTCCAGGATGGCCTGGTGCTTCTTGGACAGCTTGTCGGCCTCGGTGGAGAAGCTGTTCCTCTGGTTCTCCAGCTCTTTGTCCAGCTTCAGCTGGTGCTCGTCCATCTCCGCCTTCAGCTTGTTCTCCATCCCCATCAGCTGCTTCTGGTGCTGCCGCCTCATGCGCTTGTAGCCGGACATCTGCTCTCTGAGCGCAGAGCCCTGCTCGTGTTCCTGGATCTGACGGGTCACCTGGAGGGGGGGTTCAGTTCATGAATTAAAGTGTGGATCTACTGTATAAAGGGTCATTTCGCACAAATCACAAAACTTTAGGAAATCTTAATTTTTCAATTAATTTAAATTAATTGTTCCTTATTGTAGTCTTGTGTATACAAATATTCCACCCCCCCCCCCCCCCCCGGAACCTCCACTCAGAGCCCCCCCACATATCAAATCCCAATGTAACCCCTGCTAATAGCTATCAATATCTTCCTACTCCATTTTCATTTTAATGTTCTTAGAATTAAAAAAAATGCTCTCTCTTATTGCTTGTATATTCATGTGCATTACATGTGGCTATAATGTCAATGCATTTTATAAATAAATGAAAAACCTAACAAGAACCTAGCCAAATCCTTGTTCTCTGGTTTGACTCATTGTGTAAGGAGCAAGAAGAGAGTGAACTATTGCAACAGCCTCCTCTATGGTTCACCTGCAAAAATCCTCAACCAACTTCAATACATCCAGAACTCCGCCGCCTGTCTCCTCACCCACACCCACACCCGAATCCGTGACCACATCGCCCCCGTCCTCATCAAGCTCCACTGGCTCTCCATCCCCCAGAGAATTCAGTACAAAGCCCTCCATAACCTGCCCCCATCCTACCTGACTCACCTCCTCCACAGACACACTCCCACCTGCTCCCTCCGCTCTGCTGCTGCCAACCTCCTGTACCCCCCCCCACCCGGACCAACGTCAAGTCCTGGGGCGGCAGAGCCTTCTCCGTGGCTGCTCCCACCCTCTGGAACTCACTACCCAAACCCATCAGAGATTCTTCCTCCCTCACCGCATTCAAAACATCACTCAAAACCCACCTTTTTGTATTTCTTTGTTTGTTTTTGTTGTTGTTTTTTTCTCTGTCAAAGCGTCTTTGAGTTCCTAGAACTATACAAGTATCATGTATTATTATTAATATTATTATTAACTCACCAAGGAGGCGGTCCTGATGGTGGCGAAGTGGTCCCGGTTGCGGTAGTAGGCTCGGCGGCGTCCGGCTGAGGGAACCTGGGGCTGGTCCATCTCCGGCTGGTAGGGGTCATCGTAGATGTTATCCTGACCCTGGGGAGGAGGTGGGGGGAAGCATCGGACATTTTCATCAAAAATGCTTTATTGCAAATAAAATACATTTGGATTTGAAATGTCCATTAAAAACATGTTTGCAAATCAAAACTGGAGTTTAAAAAAATGACTACTGAAACTTTTTTTCAATTCAAAAACATTGAAACACAAAGAGAGAAGTTATTCAAATGAAAATACTATATGAAAATATGGAGGTAGATTTGTCTAAATTGTAATTGTGAAAAACTATTGGTGTGTAAATGTGTAATCTGTAAATGTTGTAAACTAATTATAGTATTCACAGACTTTCTTTGTATATGTTTGCATATTTGCAGATCATTTCATTTGCAAAAACATTTGTCAGTTTATACTTTTTTATTTTGCATTTGTGAAAGGTGCTTTTCATTTACAGATTACACATTTAAACAGATTATTCATCTGTTCACACAAATAATATTGAGATAAAACTACCAGCATATAAATCCCTGGGGGTAAATGACAGGTTACAGGACACGGACCTCAAAACTGACAGTAGCTGTTGCCAAGCTGTCACACAAGAAACTCATGGAAAATCAAATGTTTATGTTTGTGCACTTTGGGTCCAGGCAGATGTGTTGTTGTTACCGTGGGTCTGTGGATGATGGAGCTGTTGGAGGTGACGGTGTGCTCGCCCTCCTGCATCATGGCCATCTCGTTGCTGCTGTCGTCCGAGGCGTCGGCCAGACTGTTGACGGAGCTGCTCTGAGAGCTGGCTGAGATGGACATGCTGGGCACCGACTGGGAGCTCTCCATGCTGTTCACTGTGCCCGTCCGCAGCAGGTACTGCTCCACCTCCTGACACACACACACACACACACACACACACACACACACACACACACACACACACACACACACACACACACACACACACACACACACACACACACACACACACACACACACACACACACACACACACACACACACACACACACACACACACACACACACACACACACACACACACACACACACACACACACACACACACACACACACACACACACACACACACACACACACACACACACACACACACACACACACACACACACACACACACACACACACACACACACACACACACAATGTCAGGATTTAACCATTGTTCCACCTTTTTTTCTTAATGATGTATCCCTCCAAAGACCTGTAAGGCCCATACGTTACACGTCTCCTCGCTCCTCACCTCCTCGTCGTCCCCTCCCTCAGAAACGGGGCCGTTCTGCTGGGTCTCGTGGAAGAGGATCTTCTTCATCTTGCGGTACTGCAGGTTGTCCAGCTCTCTCACTGCATCCTTGGTGCGTGCGATCAGGTCCATGACCACAGTCATCGGACGCTCACGACACAAGAAGCGATGCTGCGTTCGAAAGGATGGAGACGGCATGTAAGCAAGACTAATGCTGAGAAGGCTTATGTTTGGGGTTCAGTGGGCAGGTCAACCATATTTTCCTTAGTTGACCCCTTTTTTTAAGATTTACTTTAATGTCATTAAAATCTGAAGGGTGATCAGTGTGCGAAAAAGTACACGTCCCACCGTCCGGGACGTGTTATTTACAATATCGGACAAGTAGATCTTTCAATTGACTTGTCCGGCGGACAAGTGACGTTTTTCGCCCTGATTTATTGACAAATTATTGATAAATTCAGTTTACAAAAGGCAGAACTCATCCGCAAATTGTCCGTGTCCGCCATTGTTCGTTTAGAAATGTTAGTTTCGGTTCTGCTTGTCGATTCCTAAGGAAATGCATCTCGCCGCTTTCTGTACAGTTAGGCGGGGCGGGGCGGGGCGGGGCGGGGCGGGGCGGGGCGGGGCGGGACGGGACCATGGATGTATAATAAGTGGCAGGGTTGGGAAGCAAAACTCGGTTCCGAGTAGGAACAAATAACAATTGCATCAATCCCGGGACCGGACAATTGTTATTTGAGTTGTGAGGACAGGAGGCGAGGCCGAGCCCCGCGGACTGCAGCTCTCTCTATGCTCGGTATCAGCTGATCGCTGCACGGTGCAGCTCAGCGTCTCTCTCTCTCTCTTTCTACACACAGAGGATCCGCTGCCCGTTTAACAGCCTCATCTTTGTCAAACTTTCTTATGTTCTTTCTCTAACACATAATGAAGGTTATTAAGCGTTTTAGCTCCTGTGTTGTTAATATTGACCGAATGACCGCCATTTCCTTTATGAAGTGAAGCAGCCTCCCTGTCTGTGTCCTCGCGCTGTCCTCACATCCCCGGACCCCCAGACTCGGAGGAGCACAGGGATGTCAGTATTGTTTATGAAGCAGGGTATAGAAAGTACATTATTGAAATGAAAATACTATTTATTTACTTTTACAAACAGTGAGCAGCTGCAGCATGTGTATTGCAGGACATGTGTAAGCGTCTTTGAGTTTTAGAAAAGCGCTAGGCCTATAGTCTATAAATATAATGTATTATTATTATTATTAGGCCTATGTGTTGGACATGTGTGGTTGGACTCTGTCTCACAGGCAGGTTGCAGCATGTGTGTTGCAGGACATGTGTTGGACACACAGACTGTGTGGTTGGACTCTGTCTCACAGGCAGGTTGCAGTGTAACATCAGAGGACACTGGGCCAATTGTGCATTCTCAAACTGCACCACTTAGAACTAACTAATCAATGCAGAGATTATTTTTATATAATTGTATTCAATAACCGTAAGAAATTAAACAGTATGAAGTGATTTGTAAATAGGAATACAGATTTGACTTAATGTTTTCATAAATATATTTTTCTCCCAGTTTGTCATGGGACTTATTTTTACCCTCTTAAGAACCGGAATCGAGAACCGAAAATAACTGGAATCGAAAAGCAGAACCGGAATCGTTCAAATCCAAATGATACCCAACCCTATGTGTGATGCAGTAAAATCTTACCGCTCACTTACGTTAGCGGTGTCGTAAAAAACGTGGGAAAATGTAAAATACGATGATGAAGAAGAAGATTCCAGTGGCCCCAATTTATGTCCATTCTGGACAAGTGAAAAATGTATTCGGACAAGTAAATTGCCAAACTCACTTGTCCATGGACAAGTACTCTCTAAAAACTTTTTCTCACACTGGTGATCTACTATAACTTTAAGGTGATTTAAGTGCGTCTCCAGTGCATGCTGCAAGACTTCCTCACTAGGAAGAACGTTTTTTAAGGATTGGTCAATAAAATCATACATATACGGATAGTTTTTGCAGGTCACTTCCTGTGAAGAAATGTTTTCCTAAAAAAAATGTGACTGAATTGATGCTGCTTATTATGTGAGACATATGTTGCTCTCAGCCCCGAGAGCAACATCAAAAACGGTCAACAATATCTTCTATCTGAGGCAAAGACACAAAAACAAATTTGGTCAAATTGCGTTGTTCATATTCAACATTTGCGTTCTTTATTTAAGTCTGCTGTCACTGCAGGGAAGTCACTGGAAGCCATTTCTATTTCGTTATTATTTAAAAAATGTAAATAAATGAATGATTCACAATTAAATTCATTTAAATATGCCTCATCATCAAAGACAAATATACAGGTTAATAATAGATACATCAACATTACAGAGAGCTAGAAAGTGCAGACTGTTAGTGAAATAATGATGAGTTTGTTTAGTTCTTACATTCAGCAGCACGTCAGAGGTAGGCCGGTCCTGGGGAATCTTCTGTAGGCAAGAGTCAACAAAGTTGCGGAAGGAATCAGACCTGCAGAGAAAAATAATGGATGTTATTATTTATTTAAAAAAATCATCACATATTTAACATAGCAAACTGCTTTATTCATTTGAACGTTCATTCAGGAGACAGAAATGTCCTCACCAGTGATTGGACTGCAGGATGGGACTTTCATTCTGAGCGATGTGATATAAGGCACTCATAGCATTCATGTTGAACAGCGGGGGCTTCCTCTCCGCTGGGGAAAAGAAACGGCACAATGTCAAAAGATATAGATTTAGATTTAGAAACAAAGTCATGGAGATTCATTTTTAAAAAGGTACTTGCAGTAACACAGCTTTGATATATCTAATCTCAAACTGTTTCTATATTAAATCCAGATTAGAACAATCCAATCGTTTTTTCTCATACTGATATTCTGAACAATCTGTGCCGTTGTATTTGCTGTAAAGTGTCTCTACTGTAGGCTATTTTTATTATATGTACAGCACTTTGGCTCCACCAAAAATTGTTTATAAATGTGCTATATAAATAAAACTTGATTTGATCATAGACTGCATATTAGCCCAAAGAGACGCAATAAAATGAACCCTGATTTATCCAAGTTTTGTAAAAAGTGCAAAAAAACCATTTTTGGCAAAGATGATCCCCTTAACAATCATCACATCTGGTTTCATCTGATTTAAGCGTGCATGTTGTACCCAGTTCAATGGAGGTGATGCCCAGCGACCACACGTCCACTTTGCCATCATATTGCCCTTCATCCATGGCCAAGATCACCTCTGGAGCCATCCTGGAAAAATAAAAAGCACAGTAGATGTTATATAGAATATTAAAGAATTTCATAGAGCTACTTCTACTCATATATTTTTTTTAGGGCTGTCAAACGATTCAAATGTTTAATCACAGCTTAAAAATTCATTAATCATGATTAATCACCATTCGAACTATGTCCAAAATATGCCATTTCTTTATGTATATTGTTGTGGAAATGGAAAGATAAATGAAAGAAGGCGGATATATCCATTTACAGTAACATACGTATATAGTATGTTTATTATAACATTTTTCTGTGTGTCAAAATGAAAGACAGCCCACACACCTATCAATCATCAAACCGTGGGGTCTTAATTCATTACGTGTTGATTTCTATCAACGGGGGAGTACTTCAGGAAAGTCGACAGAGGGGGGGGGGTGGCGGCTAGTGGAGTACTTCTTGACCACAGAGTGTGAACGTTGTGATCAGCTGTTTTAGCGCAGTTCTCCAGTGAAGGGGGGAGTCTCCCTCCGCAGCCGGTTGGTGTAGTTTTGGCACAATTCCGTTGTACAGACCGACGTTAACAGCAGCCCTGTCTGTGCACACGGAGACCGATTCTGTCGTCCGGTGATCTAACCGCCTTCTGGAAAAGCTTCACAAGTACGTCGGTACGCAAATGCGCTTTGTGACACAAGTGACGGTACGCATTTCAGATTACGCACATAACCTGCGTACCAGTTATGTGCACTCCTGTACTACAGCAAAAGTATTCTCCATCGGGACTTCCTGCAACAACACCACGCCGTTATCTTGATTCTGATTGGCCAGAAGACATTATCAAAGATGTTCTATTGAGAAGACGATCACTACGTGACAAAAGTTTTCAAAACCGTTTCTGGTCTTCGGTATTTCTAGACAAGTGGCTGCTGAAATCAATCTTACTAACTGCTGTCTGTGCAATTCGCGGCGCGAGTTGGCGGACTTTATTTTGCTTAGTTTAACATCATTTTTCATGGTGGGGCTAAGCCATTTCTTGCTATGGGTGTAGCCCTTTATATATACAGTCTATGGTGTAGCCTACCCCAGCCATACCCTGGCGCTGCCACTGGTGGGATGTATGGGGCGGGCCATTCTGCACATTAGTGCTGTAGCGACGCGTCGACTTCAAAATATCGTCGACGACATATTTCCGCGTCGCTACACACACGTGGGTCACCCAAAGCAACAAGCAGTTCGCAATCGCACTTCAAACACAATGGAGACTGAAACGGCTACCACCTCCTCCTCACAGGATTGCCCACGAAGCCCCCAAACGAAAACATCTCGCCCTAGGTCTTCAAAAGCATGGGAATATTTTAAAGTTAGTCCAAAACGCAAAGATATTTATATATTTATATCTCACTGAGACTGCTGCATAGCCTAGCAGAAGCAGCAGCTAGCTGTGGTGGCTACCATTAGCAGCTAGCATTTGCTCTCCGATTTTTACATAAAATGGAATTATGGATTATAAATTCAATCATTTTTTTTATACATAGACGTTAAAAACCTATGGATTAACCGATTCAGCCGCGTTTTTTCTAATTTTAATGCCATTGAACACGTCTTTTGATCAGATTGACAGCTACGGTGGTGAGACGATCTCCCTAGAAGCTCTGTGAAGGTACGTGTTGTGATGACTGTATTTGCTTCTCCTGTCGCGACTCCGGATCACTCAGTGATGATACTATATACCTACATAATCTGTGGAGTCTCAGCTTTAATCGGATATATTGTATGTGCAGCTACGATAAGTAATAAGGGTACTTTTATCTTGAGTTCTGTGCCAATGTCCGTTAGCATTTTTCGCTCAGGGGTCATTTAGATGCTTCTTATGAGACTTGTGTTTTGTTTTGGTAAACATGGTTTGTATCGTCAGTTAGCTGAGATTATTTCCGTTAATCTGGTATAACACATTAATAGGGGATCTTAATATTTAAGAACCTGAGACACAGTGTCGTGAATTTTTTTTTTTTACATTACGTTTTTTATTAATTGAACAACAGAAAAATAATCGTTAGATTAGTCGACTAATCGATCAAATAATCGCCCGATTAATAGTTTTCAAAATAATCGTTTCCCCCCAGCACTACTGCACATGCGTTAAATATTTTAACGCAATTAATTCTAAAAATTAATTACCGCCGTTAAACGCGATAATTTTGACAGCATTCATTTTTTTATATCCATATTTTGCACACCCCCCTAAAGAAATAAGAAAATATACCCTACAGGAAAGGGAAACCACCAAAAAGCACAATAGGCCCTTTAAAGAAAGTAAACTTTAAAGCACAATAAGGCAAAAATGTTTAAAATGAACTTCCCTCAGAGGAGGAGTTATTTGCTACACGTGTCTTAGGCCCCATTTACTCGAGGACGAAACGGGTACGTTTGCGTTTACGCACCGAATTCGTTTTCAAAAAAGTCTTCCGTTCACACGCATTCAGCTCAATTAACGTGTCCGTTCACACGAGACCGCTGGAAACGCTGGAAACGCTGTAGTACATATGCCGGGCCTGTAAGTGGCGCTGCTGCCGCCACAAAATACACCAAAAGCAGCGAAGAAGAGCCCGGAGCATGGTTGCCCTTCTGTTTATTCTCCGCGGTGGACAGCGTGTGCTCCTGCTGTAAATCTCTCCGGTAGTCCACCAGCAGATGAAAAACACCCACCTCTCCGCCTCTTCCAAGGGACGAGGGGACTGTGCGGCAGAGTTTCCGTTAACATTTTTTTTCCTTTAATGTCCTTTAAAGTTTAAATCTTCCGGACAAAATTAGAAAAAGTGCCGGTCAAAAGGTCTTCTTATATTTATTGAGCTTTAAAACAAATTGATAACGACTGGATATAATAATATAAGAATAATAAACGGAGCCTCTCTTTTCCTCCCCCTCTTCTGACAGCCCAGCAGCTGATCTCTGAGCAGGAGACGTGGGGACAGGGAGGTGTGGGGAGAGGGAGGCGGGGCTATTTCATCGTTATCAGAAAATGATCGTATAGAGGCGTACACACAGAGCCGTTTGCCCCCCCAGAGCGTTCCGTTTACAGATCTATCCACCTTGGGACCCGTTATCGTTTGCGGGGTCCGTTTCCGCGTCGGCCTCGTGTGAACGAACGGGCTATACGCGAGAGAAAAGTAGCAGATACAACCTGTGTAAACGGCACCTGAATGTCCCCATACTTCCCGCTCATTGATTAAATGTTGTAGAAGAAGGAACTCACCAGTAGGGAGTCCCTACGAAGGAGTTGGCAGGCGCCACGATGGAAGCAGAACCAAAGTCCCCCAGTTTGACCTGTCCGGGCTCCGTCAGCAGGATGTTCCCCGCTTTCACATCCCTGCACAGAGAATCTGTCCTTACTAACAGTGTTTGTTCCTGCTGCTTTTTAAACAGGTCAAGTCAACAAATGGCCAGGCTCTTTCAAGGCATTTCAAAGCCTTTATCATCACATCTTAAAACTGTTATTATGAATGCAATTTGAAAAACAAGGGTTTACAGATTTTTCTTTTCACCAGTGATTCGACTGATTTTGTGTTGTTCAAGATTATTTAATGATGCTGATTTAGAGAGTAAGGGATCAACAAGCTACGAATGATTAGTGAACGCGAGAACATTTTACTTTAAGCTTTCAAAAAACAAGATTACTTACTGATATTTTATAGACCAAACCTGCTGATTAATCAATGATAAAAATAATGGTTAGTTGCAGCCCTTATCAAAATAAAGAAATGTTGTATAGTGTTGTATAATTATTTATTTTATTTTTAATGGATTGCTGCTGCTCTCATTGTATTATCTACATTATTTATTTCTAGAGATGTAGGGGTTTGCAACATCTGTTGAGTTGGTTATGGGTGTTCACAAGCTATAAATGTTAAGTTAAATACATTTTATCCTAATTGTTAGAAACGGAAAATAATCTATAAATCTTTTTTTTTTTTAAACTGTAACACCTTCTAAACAATACAAAATATGTTGTGTGTTGCATTAAATGTAATAGAACAACATATTGTAATTTGTCAGAAAAAGCTTTAATAAACAATTGACATCTTGTACCTGTGAATCATGTTGTGCGAGTGAAGATATGCTAATCCCTGCAGTGCACCATGGGTAATAGCAGCTATTTCCATTTCCTGGAGCGGCTTTTTGTGAACTAGAAGAAGAGAGGACACAAAGAGTCACAAACAGAAACAAGACGCATAAATAATGGTGTTTTAAAAGCCGTGTTAAACTGACCTTCGAGGAGGTCTGAGGCCGAGCCGAGGCAGTACTCCATCACCAGCTGAGGAGAAATCATTATCTATTATTATCAGCAGACACGTTGACTTTGTATTTATCTCTGTATCCATCCATCTATCAGTACGTACCCATGCTGTGTGCTCCTTCAGGTAACAGCCCCGGTACTCGATGGTGTTCGGGTGGCGAAGTTTCTGCAGGAACTTCACCTCTTTAATGATGTCCTGCCATTTCTGAACATGAACATACAAAAAGATGCTTGTCTTGTGTTTTTGAGCACATTTCATATACAGAAAAAAATGAGATAAATATATTAAACATCAATAATTAGACGCATCTTTGTTTGTCGAAAAGTACCGTAATGAAGAATGATTATTGTTAAAAAGAGTACTTATTTATTCACTTTTCCCACGTTTATTAAAAGTAGAAGAATATGACAACATGAGGTTGATTTTTAAAAGACAGAAATGTTTTAATGAACTGAAAGGTTCATTAGTAGAGGATGAACATTTACTTAAGAAAATTAAATGTATTTGAAAATGAACTATATTTCTTTCGTGTGTTACCTCGTTTGTCTGCTTGCCGCTGTACGACATTTTCTTAATGGCCACCACTTCACTGTTGCGCACATCTCGGGCCTGTAGGGGGACAAAAACGCTATCATCAGAAACACTCAAGAGAAAACAGAGGTGCATCTCACTTCGGTTAAATGGATTCCTTGCGTCCCTCACTTGCGCCGTTTCCCTGAGTTTAGTCCCTCCCACCAGGGAAGCATGGAGAGACGCAAGGAAACCACGAGAAGCAGGGAAATTAGTTTTAAGAGCAATGGGACGTCCTTTCCTCCGGAGCGTCACGTGAAGCGACGTCCGTTTGTGATGACGCCGCACAGCTGATCGTCTGACAGCAGCCAGATCAGTGCATGCGCTGCATCGTCCAATCAGTGAGCGATACACAGTAAGGGGGCGGGGCGAGTGTCTGAGGATTTCACCGGAGGATGGTCTGGTAGTTCCTCGATTATTGCTCCTCCATTATCACTCCTCGATCCTCGGTCCTCCGGTCACTGGGACGCTATTCAAGAAATCAACTTCCGGTGATACCGAGCCAGAGGAAATGAAAAATAACCGAAGTGAGACGCACCCCTGGTCACACCGGTAATCAGGTGACATGTTTTAAAACTTTATTTATTCAGGGAAGCAACATTGAAAGAAGGCCCTGAACACACTCGCACAATGTCACCCTCTCACTCCTGGAAGCTGCTCAGTGTTCACATTGTCTGTCCTGCTGGTAACTGGCTTTGCTCGAAGGCACTTCAGTAGTGGGCTTTCTTTTATCTTCTGCACCAAGATTCATTCTGCCAGCCGGGGACCAAACAAACGTTTTCAAATATGTAGAACAAAACTGTTTACAGGTAAATGATGGACCTATGTTTAGAACTACAATTTGTATCAGTGCTTTTTTTTTTGCAGTGATGGTATTATCATCAGGTTATAACAGATTAAAAAGGGATAATTCACTCAAAACATTATTCTACATATTTTCACTTATTTGACAATTAAGGCTGGACAATATGGAGAATATAAAATATTTCTGATCAATGCTTACCAATACCCATATCGCGACAATATTGTATTTGATTTATTGTCATGCGGCCTTTAAAACCATGAAAAGACAAAAAACTAAGAAGATATATAGTCCCACATCTCAAAATTGAATATCCACATATTCACCAGCCATACTGAAAATATAAGGGAGGGAACATATCTTATGAAAGAAATATTAAAACAGATAGACAGTTTATGAAGCCAAATGGATATTAAAATAAGGTGTAGGCCTCCAAGTGTTTAAGGAGGAAGAGCCTGTCCCATAATGTAGGTTAATTAGTGTATGGGATTTGATCAACTCTCCGAGTGAGAAGTGACTGTTTGAGGTCACTGTCGTACAGTTTGAAGTCTTTGTCCTGCAAATGCAGATTAAAAAACATGTTGAAGGAAGCATCCCTATTCAGGAGGAATCAGTTTCCTCTAATCCCTTCCATCCCGATTACAGAAACAATGTGTACATTCAGAAAGCAGCTTACTGGAGAGAGCCCACTGTAACCCGGTGACTTAAGTACATTTTAACAAGCATCTTCCTCTTTGTGGCCGCAGACCAGTACAATGGCAGCATTACATTACTAACAATTTCCTTTATTTACAGATTATTTTTTGGATTCAGATTGAATTACTTTTACGGATTTAACTAGGGAAAACTACCAATGTAAATAATAGGTTTTACCTTTGTCTTTTTCATCAGTGATTGAAAATAATTATTCGTCAATGAAAGTACTCTGATATCTGAGATCCATTTATCAACAAAACTACACTATATTTTTCTCTGTAAAATACTACATTTCTATAATCCATTCCAAGAGCTTAATCCTCAGAAAAGGCGTAATCCTAAATCCTAAGTGAGAGTGCTGCTCTCAGATGACCAAATAAAGACCTTCTCCAGACCCTAAAATTACTAAATGACGCATCACTGCTGTTTCTACGGAGAATAATTCCTCAAGAAAAAAGAAAAAAAACGTTATGGGAAGGAAAAAGGCCGACTGATGCTGTCAATGGTTATTTAAGGTCAGTTTTCCCCTCTTACACAATCGCTTAGAATACATAGGCAGGGGCGGATCTAGAAAAATATTCATGGGGTGGCAAGAGGGTGGCAGGAGATTTTGAGGGGTGGCATCCCCTGACAGAAGTATATGCTGATTTAAATCGCAATCATATCAATCAATTAGGGGTGTAACGGTACACGTACCCGTACTGGTCCAGGCTCTCGTCATCTCACGCCTAGACTACTGCAACTCCCTCCTGGCTGGTCTACCTGCATGTGCCATCCGACCTCTGCAGCTCATCCAGAATGCAGCGGCTCGTCTGGTTTTCAACCTTCCTAAATTCTCCCACACCACTCCGCTCCTCCGCTCCCTTCACTGGCTTCCGGTAACTGCTAGAATCCACTTCAAGACACTGGTACTTGCTTACCGTGCTGCGAATGGATCTGGCCCTTCCTACATCCAGGACATGGTTAAACCGTACACCCCAGCGCGTGCACTACGCTCTGCATCAGCCAAACGACTCGTTGCGCCCTCGCTGCGAGGGGGACCCAAGTTCCCATCGGCGAAAACACGTGGGTTTGCTGTCCTGGCTCCAAGATGGTGGAATGAGCTCCCCATTGACATCAGGACGGCAGATAGCTTGCACATCTTCCGGCGCAAACTGAAAACTCATCTCTTTCGACTCCACTTCGAGCGTTAGAACGATTAACGAAGCACTTTTATACCAATAAAGGACTGGATTACCTAAAGCCAGTTGAGTAGCACTTGAAATGTTTGGCTCTATGAAACCTGATATACTTATATGATTCTGTTTTCTTCAAGGTTGTGTCTTCCTGGTCGAATGTACTTATTGTAAGTCGCTTTGGACAAAAGCGTCAGCTAAATGCAATGTAATGTAATGTACTGAAATTATTCGGTACGGGCCCTTCGGTTCGGTACACATGTGTACCGAACGAATATAGCGTTAAACATAAAAAAATTTAGAACATGAACAACTTTCTGGAAGTAATCTCAGGTATATATCATAGAGCGACCAAGTAATTTCATTGGACGAGAGGCATACTATGAGAGCTGGTCACAGGGATGCGTTCAAATGTAGTCAGTAATTTGAGGAACTGTCGAAATGGCGAACGCAGATAAAGTTGAGCTGAAAATCCTCCAGCATCATTGAAGTCTCCGGTTTGGGAACATTTTGGTTTCGCAGTTACGTACAAGGATGACGGACAAAGACAGGTGGACTGAACCAAAGCTGTTTGTCGGTATTGTTCAACTAACATTGGTTACGCGGCTGGCAATACATCACACTCATTTGAAAAGGCATCACCCGAATGTGAATATCACCGGTACCAAAAGAAAAAAGACTGAAGTGCAAACCCAACTCCCACTAGCATGTAAGCCTCCACCACTCGCAAAGAGTTCAGACCGAGCCAAAGCTATTACAAATGCCAAATATCCTTATGTTGCCATGTTAGCAAAGCGCTACCTGGCTGTGCTACCTCTGTCCCTAGAGAGGGTGTTCTCCACAGCAGGAGACATTGTTAGTGCCAGCAGATCTGCCATTTCAGCAAGCAATGTGGACAAGTTCATCTTTCTTTAAACAACATGAAAATACAATGACAAGCAAGTCCTAATGTCAAGCTGGCTGCTTAGGTACTAGTACAGTTCAAATACAGATTATTTCAGTTCATCGAAATGCTGCACCTTAATGTTTATTTTACTATATTTTGTATTTATTTGAATACATTAGTCACAGTTTAATAATAATAAAAAAAATGTTTTTAATGTTTTGTGATCATTTTTTCTGCTGTACCGAAAACGTACCGAACCGAACCGTGACCTAAAAACGAGGTACGTACCGAACCGAAATGTTTGTGAACCGTTACACCCCTACAATCAATGTTAACTTGGAAAGCCACAATATTAATATTTTAACTCAATCACATAGGTGATATTATTGTGGCACATCAGTAAAGCCTTAAATATAAGGTGGCATACGTAATTTAATGAATTTTAACTGAACAATAACTGAATGAGTTTGTCTCACTCTTAGACCAGCAGGGGTACCAAATATATACAGACTGCTGCAATAAGTACATTAATTAACTGTCTCATCGATGTTTGTCTGAATGAATATGATACTATTAACAACATATTAGTCCTATCAGCTGTATAAATAAATAATAAATAATAATAATAATAGATTTAATTTGTTAGCGTTTTTACAGGTGCTCAAAGACGCTTTACAGATATAGTGAAGAACTGTTATGATTCACATATTCATTTATTATTGAATAAACTATATTTATTTTTTGGAGGAGTTAATGATGAATGTTCATCAAGATGCTTGCTCACCCTCCTTCAAATTTGAAAAACAAGTAATTATATCATTATTGATATACAGTTACAACCTTGACTTTACATCAGAAAGAACAAACATTAAAGAAGTGACTAACTGCATCAGTTAGGGTTAAAAAACGTGTATTCAGCTAAAACATCATTGCAGTTATTATCCAGTGGAAGGTCCTTACCTACTGGCCTAGTTAAATCAAAGTGGTTACTTTCTGTTGGCTGGGCAGTGTAGTTTTACACACCGTCTTATTTTACTTTTTCAGGACTTAAAACAGTTTTTTGGGGGCAGACCCCCTCAAAGAAAAAAATATATACACGCATACAAGGTCATCATCTTAACAGTTTGTTATTCTCATCGAGTCATCCGTGAGCAGAGCATCAAGTTGGCATGTCTATTACAGCTGAATGCGGCGATTACTATCTTGTTCAGCAAAACGCCTCACAAACTTATTAAGATCAACAGCTGGAGTGCGTTTTGATTCAATGCTGAGTACAGCCAAACTTGACATTCTCTTCTCTGTCAGTGTAGACCGCAAATACCTCATTCCTTCAGTCTACTTGAGTCCGAAAGGCTTCTCATTTTGCGCCGTCCCGTTCAAATGAATTCGCCACCAATCATATTTCCACTCTCGCGCCAGGACCGGGGGAGGGGTTACATGACGTGAATCTTGTGCTGCATTCACTTGCAATCGGACATTA